ACTTTAAGACAGCTAAGATTCAGTGGAATACACTATAAACAGTCTGCCTGTTTGCTGTTCAACAAAATAATAAGGTTTCTTTTGTTTTTTGTTCAACAAGAGATCTCCAAAAGATGCCGCTTGGAAAACTGAGCTTTTTGCATACGTTATTTCTCGAGAACGAAGAGCGCCCCAGCCAAAAAAAATTCAGAGCAATATTTCTCAGGTACAACGAAGCCTACATGCCAAAATTCAGCTATTTTTGAACACTTTCAAAATGGCCAAAAAATCTAGGGGACGTTCTTGCACGCGGCCTTTCAATTGCTGCCAGCATTAACATTAGCATCAACAGTCTAGCTGCAGCAAAAAGCACTGATACAGTTTACAAAATTTAATGTTTTTAAGTATCTTTCAAAGTCAGGCCCAATTTATTTCAAGTGTCCATTTACAGAAGCTTAAAAACAAAGGAAAAGTCTAGATCGTAAGCCCACCAAGTGTCTGCGGCCGCTTACAAGAATGTCCACTTACAGGAATGAGTAATTTAACACAGTGTTTTGGAGTTTAAATGGGATTTTGTGAAGGCGGTCGTTAGTAGAGCTCTCCACTTACGAAAGTGTCTTTTAAGAGAGCTTCTACTGTAGTTAGTGTTTCCTTTAAGAAGCTCTGCTCCCTACAATTTAAGTGGCTCTGGCCAAAGTAAATGTTACCTGATCTCTTATATCATGAATGGACCCAGGCCACTTTTGGCGTGCATCAAAGCTGTCTGGAATGTCACTGGCTACATCTTTTTTAAGAACCTTTGGAGGAGAGTCTTTGGGCCATGCACCATAACTGCCAAGCATATGTTTGACGTCTGCCCAGTCCATACCTGCAAACTGCCTGTAAACAGTAGCCTCCCACCTATTCATAAAACATTCACTTAGATAAGTTATAAATCAATTCACTGTGTGAATGAAAAGCTTATGTGTATTGTTCTGTCTTGGAAATTGGACGTGTATGTAATGGTAATAATTAAATTCCACAGTACTATTAATACAACTGACAATCTGTAAAAGATAAAAGTCAGGTTTAATTCCATTCCTTTGAAAACCCTCCAAGTTACGACCATTCAAGTCACCCATGGCGATTAGAATTTTGGAGATGGTGACTAACTTGAAATGGAAGTTACCAGCCCGGCAACTAAAATCAATGTGACAAAATTGAGAGCTTGGGCAGACCATCATCCAGTCTGAAAAAATCCTCTGAGCATTATGAATTTGCTTGTGAAAATAAGTTCTTCTGCCATTTTAACTTTAGCATATGATAATTTTTATTTTACCCTTGAGAATAAGATAACAAGTTAGAGTGATCTGATAATTTCCCTTCAAAAAGAAGCAACAATGCAAAAGCTCGGAAATAGCTGATAATGGAAAGGTAGACAGTGATCAGATTAATTGAAGAAGCTAGTCATAAAAGGGGATAAGTGACGATTTTGGTTGCTTTTCTTTTTTCTTGCTC